CCCGACCCGCCCCCTGCCCGTCCCCGCCCCGCGCACCTGGACGGGCCCCGCCTCCCACACCTGTGAGGGCCCCGCTCCGCCCCGGCCCCGCCCCGGCCCCGCCCCGGCCCCGCCCCGCCCGCGCCCCTCAAAAGCGGCAGAGCCGCGCTCGCCCCGAGCTTGTGGAGGAAGCTCGTGCCGGGATGCTGCGGGAGCGATCGGCGCATCGGAGGACCCAGGGTGGCGATGGAGCTCGGCGGGAGGACCGGGACCAGGACCAGGACCGGAGGACCGAGGTGGGCTTGGGGCTGGGATGGGGCTCGGCATCCGGACGGGGACCACGGTCGGTGCCGGGCCCATCCCAGCCCGGCCTCGTCGCCTGGGCCCCGGCACCGCGGGTGGGAAGAGCCGCTCAGGGCGGGCGCTGGGGCCGATCCCGGCGGGGCCGCTCGGGCCGGAGCTCTGCCAGGGCCCGGCCGGGGGAGAATGGCGGCGCTTTCCTCGTGCAGACGCGGAGCCGGGGCTGGGACCGGCCGGGATGCGGGGACGCACTGGGCCGGCCCCGGGACCCCCCGATCGCGACGGGCCGGCCCCGGGACCCCCCGATCGCGACGGGCCGGCCCCGGGACCCCCCGATCCCACCGGGCCCGCAGCGCTGCCCGCACCCCCCGCGGAATCGGAGCTCCCTCCGCTCGGGAACCCTTGAGGCCACCGCACCCACCTCCTCCCCGCGGAGAACATTGCCTGCCTCCCCTTTCCCCGTGGCCGCGGCCCCGGGGGGTTCCCGCCCGCAGTGCCCCCCGGGAACGAGGGGTCTGGGGCCCGCCGGGGCTCCGGCCACGGGCCCGCTCCGGCCGCGGGGAGCCGGGGCCCTGCTGGGGCAGGGAAGAACGGGGGCAGCCCTTTCCCCGTTCCTCCCGTGCTCCGGGACCCCGAGCAGAGCTGCCCGTCTGTCCCCCTGTCCCCGTGTCTGTCCTCAGGCAGCCCCAGCAGCTGGCACGGACCGTGCCGCGGGTCGGGCACAGGCTGCTCCCAGCTCTGCCTGCGGACCTTCGGCAATTGCCGACAGCAGTTCTTTGCCCTGCCATCCCTAAGGGGCAGCTCATCTCACACCTGCCAGGTGAGACCTGAGGCTCTCCTTCCTCTCCCCCGCTTTCTCGGCAACTCGCACCCTCCCGGGGCAAAGCCTCTGGTGTTTTCAAATCCCGTTGAAACATTTCATCTTTATTTGCAGACGGGGAAGGTCCTGCCTGGGAGGGAAACGGCTACAGGGGAGGAAACCGAGAAATGCTCCCACCGGACGCTGCCGCGCGAGTCAAAAGAGGGGAGGACCGCAGGGAAATACAGTCAGGAAATCCGCTTTTATTCAGTCTCTGCAGCTCTCCGTGCTCTGCAGGAGCCCTTCGCAGCCACGGGCCAGAGGGAGCGCGGCCGGCTGGGCTGTGCCCGGCTGGGGACGGGCACCAATTCATCACTGCCGTGCTCAGGGAGGTTTTCCGGCCCCGTCCGGGATTCTCCCAATGGCTGCAAAGGTGTTCGTGCGGCATCCGAGCTCATTTCCAGGGATAAAGGAGCCAACCGAGTCCGGAGGGATCCCTCGCTCCCAGGCAAAGGCGTTGGTCGAGTGTCGCCGCCTGGTCCCGCCTGCGGGGCGGCGTCTCCTCCAGGTGAGCGTTCGGAACCCAAAATGCCGGGGGGGGCTCAGGTCGGGGCCGCTTTTCAGGCCCGGAGCTGGACGGAGCCCTCGGCGGCTCCTGCTTCCCGCCAGGAATGTTTTCGGGGCTCCCTGGGCAGTCCCAGCTGGGCAGGGAACGCGGGCCGGGAGGAGGCCGGAGCGACAGACAGCGAGCCAGCCCTGCTCGGGCTTCCTCTTGCCAGGGGATGGAGGAGCTGTGCCCGGGAGCTGTGCCCCACAGCCCACGTGCGGCGGGCAGGGGAAAGGTCTGCCCGCGGCTCCTCAGCCGGGGTTGCTCTGAACGGGCACCCGGAGATGCCTCACCCTGGACACGCCCCAGCGCCAGCCCCGAAGGACCCAAAGAATCCAGCTGGCACTCGGCAGTGTCGGCACGGCGGGGCTGCAGAGCAGCACGGGAGCCATTCCCAGCGCCGACCTCCCAGAGCTCCCACGGGCCCCCCACGTGTGTCCCGCCCACCCCAAATCCCTGCCCTTCCAGCAGGAGGTGCTCTGAAGGCAGGGATGTGCATCCCTTTCCTCGGGGAAAAGAACTCCCTGGAGCCGCTCCCGAGGCTCCGAAGGGACAGCGGCTTCCCGGACGGAGAAACGTCCTCGCCCGTGCTCAGGGGCTGCCTCGCCCCGGGCCGGGAGCGCGTCCGGCCCCCGCCTTCTCCTGGGCGAACACATCCCCTGGAGCCCGGCCTGGGGCGGAGAACCGGCCGAATTCCAGGGAACTCGCTCAAGTCCCCCCAGGGACACCAGCGGGGCTGGGGGAGGAGGGTTATAAACAGCAAAGTCTGTGGAACATGAACCTGTCCTTGTCCCGATCCCACTGAGCAAACCTGGAACCGTGGCTGCTCCCTGGCAAACCTGGCTTTAGAGCAGCAGCTCTGCAGGGGAAGATCCGGGCTCCAGGAGGCACTGGGAGGCTATTCCAGCAGGAATTCAGCATGGAATTGCGGGCTGGAGGTAGAATTCATCTAAACCTGCAAAGCTGAGACCGGAACCCAAACCTGGGCCCCTCGCAAAGAACAATCTTTGTGCTGCCCTGTCAGCCAAAGCCGCTGCACTGAGAGATCTTGGCAGCCTGAGGGAGGGCATTCTCTGCATCCCAGCAACCTCCATCTCCCAAGGGGACAATCCAAGTCCCAACCAATTCCTTTTGCCTTTCCCCAGGGACAGTGACCCTTATTTGGTCCTGCTCTCCCACAGTTCATTTTGGGGGATTGGTTTGTCCTGGTTTATGTTCCATGACTCCACCCACAGATGGAGATGTGGGGCTGTGCTTCTCTACTCCCAGCAGGTTCCCTAAGGAGCCAGATACTCCAACAATCCCCTCGTTTGACTTTCTGGGTGAATTGTACACAAGCCAGTCCCCCATTCCCTATCCAGGCTGTCAGTGCTCGTGCCCTTGGCACAGTTGGCTCTGGCTGGGCAGGAACTGAGAGCAAGACACGGGGCAGAGTGGATCAGCTGCCCAGGGAACCTCCAGGAGATGAAGCTACGGGATCCTCATTCCAATCAAGGGAACACATTCTGTCTCTGGCAGAAGCCGGGAGCCAAAGCAGATCCCTCCTGGCCAGGCTGGTGGGCAGCAGTTGGATCCACTCTGGGGGAAAGCCCCTGTGCCTGCCAGGAGCTCTGACTCTGTTTGTCCTGCCAGCTCCTGAGCAGGGTCAGGGCCACTGGGAGGGATTCAGAATGCAAAGAAACCCCAAATCCTACCAAGGGACTCAATCACAGGAAGAAAGCCATTATTGTTATAAAAGCCTTAAAAAGCTGTTAAAAATTCTAGGACAGCAATACTGGGATTCTCAGGAAACTTATTAGTGCTCTTGGTTCCATTTCAATGTATCTTTAGTCCCTCAGTGAGCAGCTTGGAGAACTTCCCCTGGGATTCAGAGGCTGAGCAGGGTTTGCTTTGGATTGCCTTGCACCTCTGGCCCCAGCTGGTACAAACACAACTTGGGCCAATGTGGTTAAACACACTTTCCTACACAAACAGTTGCTGTATCCTCTAGAAATTACCCCAAGTTCGCAGATAAAACCTTCATCTCTGTCCCTCCTCCGTTATCCCAGGTTTTCCTGGCTGGGAGCTGCAAGGAGGCTGTAAATTGAAAGGCAGAAAAAGAAGATGTGTCAGCAAAAGGCACAAAGAAGGGGACAGGTTTCAGAAAACATTTCTGCAATCCAATGAATAACTCTTTCCAGTTTCCCAGGGAGAAGAACAGGAACTCACAGCCACCAAGGCCTGACAGTCCCCTGCCGCCAGAACTCAGCACACACCAGAGAGGTAATTCCAGCATCTAAAAGAAAAGAAAAAGGAGAAAAAGTGATTTATTTTGTTTCCAAGTTATTTTAACTTGTTGAAAGCCAAGCAAGCCTTGCTTTGGTTTCAGATGGGTGAACAGTGAGGGGTGGGCACAGGGCACGTCATTAATGCCCAGGGGATGGTGCTTTGGGGGGGAAGAGCAGCTGATGGAGTTGCCCAGTCCAATTCCTGCCCAAGGCCTGACTGGCCCAGGACAAACCCTGTGGCAGGCAGTGGTTTTGTTCCCTCTAATGGTCAGTGCCCAGTGTGTCCCTGTGGGCAGTGCCAGGCTGGGGACAGGCAAACGCAGCACTCTCTGCCACCCATTTCACCCTCAGAATCTTCCCTGGGCCCGCTGTGGTGTCCACTCCTGATTGCCTCCTCTGCACCTCTCAGGATTCATTCTGGACTCTGGAGATTACCTCAGAGATTTCTGCCCTCAGTGTCCCCACCTGGCAACCACTGATTACCTCAGTTGACCTCATCATGTTCTTTCTCTCCCCTGGAGATAACCTTGTTCAGAACCCCCAAAGTTATAACTCAAAATATTCATTCTCTGCCCTGGATGTTCCCTCAAGTTTTACCCCTGTAATTTCCCCCATATGTCCACAAATGATTCCCCCAGTTTACCTCAGGATGTACATTCTCTCTGCTCCACGTGACCTCAAATTTTCCAAACACAAATTTTCCCTCCCTGCCCAACACTGACTGCCTCACTTTACCCCAAGGTATTCATTCTCTCTGCTACAGATTCTACTCCCAAAATTCTCCTTACCTACCCACATGTAATCAGCTCCTCTGTACAAATACATGTTCATTCTCTACCCTGTTGGCTAACCCAAGTTTACCCTAAAACACTCCCCAACTGTCCACCACTGAGTACCTCATTTATCCTTCAAAATATTCAGTCTCTGCCCTGGACGTTCCCTCAAGTTTTACCCCCAAAGGTTTCCCTTCCTGCCCACTGCTGACTGCCTCAGAGTCCATCAGGAGGTACATCCTCTCTGCTACAGGTCACCTCACACTGGACCCACCACATTTTCCTGACCTCTCCACATCTCAGCAACTCACTTCTACATCAAGATGTTCCTTCTCTACCCAGCAGACCACCTCCAGTTTACTCTCCACACTTTCCCCACCTCTCCACCACCCAGGAACTCATTTTCACCTCAGAAGAGTCACTCTCTGCCCTGCAGATTCCCACAAGTTTTACCCCCCACATTGTCCCTGGAGGTCTGCAAGGTTTACTCCAGTTTACCCCAGGAGGTGCATTCTCTCTGCTGCACATGACCTCTGACTTTACAAACAGAAAGTTTCCCTCCCTGGCCACCACTGACTGCCTCACCTTACCCCAAAATATTCATTCTCTCTGCGACAGATTGCCCCAGATTTTACTCCCAACATCTGCCTTACCTGTCCACATCTGACCAGCTCCTTTGTACCTACAGAGGGTCATTCTGCACCCCACAGACACCTCAAGCTTATCTCAAACCTCTCCCCACCTGTCTGTCACCGAGTGCCTCATCTTTACCTCAACACATTCCTTCTCTTCCCAGCAGATTACCTGAACTTTAACACCCACAATTGTCTGGGTCTCTCACCACTCATCACCTCAGGTTACCTCAATGTGGTCATTCCCTACCCTGGAGAGAATGAACCTCCTTTTTAACCCCCAAAGTTTCCCCTTCCACCCCACTCCTGATTACCTCTTCTTGAACACAAACGAGTCATTCTCTCCCCTAGAGAATATCTCCTTTTTAACCCCCAGAGTCTTCCCTACTGCACACTCCCGATTACCTCTTTTGGACCTTCAAACATTCATTCTCTGCCCTGCAGATTTGCTCAAGTGGGACCTCCACAATTTCCCTACCTCTCCACAGCTGATCACCTCATGTATACCTAAATATGTTCATGCTCTAACCTACAGACCACCTCAAGTTTACTCTCAAAACTTTCCCCACCTGCTCACCACTGACTACCTCCTTTTGACCTCCAAATATTCATTCTCCACCCTGGAGAGTTTCTCAAGTGTTACCTGTCCACTGATGACTGCCTTAGTTTATCCCAAAATGTTCCTTCTCTCTGCCAGACACTGCCACACATTTTACCCCCAGAACCTTCCCTGAGCCCGCTGTGGTGTCCACTCCTGATTGCCTCCTCTGCACCTCTCAGGATTCATTCTGGACCCTGGAGATTACCTCAAAGATTTCTGCCCTAAATGTCCCCACCTGGCCACCACTGATTACCTCAGCTGACCTCATCATGTTCTTTCTCACCCCTGGAGATAACCTCGTTCAACCCCCCAAAGTTTTAACTCAAAATATTCATTCTCTGCCCTGGACGTTCCCTCAAGTTTTACCCCCAAAGGTTTCCCCTCCTGCCCACTGCTGACTGCCTCAGTTCCAGCAGGAGGTACATCCTCTCTGCTACAGGTCACCTCACACTGGACCCACCACATTTTCCTGACCTCTCCACATCTCAGCAACTCACTTCTACATCAAGATGTTCCTTCTCTACCCAGCAGACCACCTCCAGTTTACTCTCCACACTTTCCCCACCTCTCCACCACCCAGGAACTCATTTTCACCTCAGAAGATTCACTCTCTGCCCTGTAGATTCCCACAAGTTTTACCCCCCACATTGTCCCTGGAGGTCCGCAAGGTTTACCCCATGAGGTGCATTCTCTCTCCTCTACGTTACCTCTGATTTCACAAACACAAATTTTCCCTACCTGCCCACCACTGACTGCCTCACTTTACCTCTAAATGGTCATTCTGTTTTCTACAGATGAGATCAAGTTTTACCCCCAACATTTCCCTTCCTCTACATCACCCATTTTCTCTTCCTGACTCCCCAAATTTCCACTCCATCCCTACACATTGCCTGAGTGTTTCCCTCCAAAGCATCATTCCCTTGTTCCCTGTTTAAGAACTCACACTCCAACCCCAGGCTCTCCACTCCCCCCTCAGTGGGACCCCTCCAAAATGCACCTCCCTCCCCTCTGCAGCACCTCACCTTTTCCTACACAAACAGTTGCTGTGTCCCGTAGAAATTACCTCAAGTTGGCAGCTACAAATGTCACCTCTGTCCCTGCCATGTTATCCCAGGTTTCCCCAGCTGGGAGCTGCAAGGAATTCAGGCCAGGGAATGGACATCAGGGAACAGCTGTACATGCAAAGGCAGAAAGAGAAGATCTGTCAGCAAAAGGCACAAAGAAGGGGACAGGTTTCAGAAAACATTTCTGCAATCCAATGAATAACTCTTTCCAGTTTCCCAGTGAGAAGAACAGGAACTCACAGCCACCAAGGCCTGA